ATTGTTGCTGTTGGAAACCATGCTGCAAGCAAGGCTCCATCATGAATATTAATGACCACCTAATAAGTATTCATTTGCCGGTATTACACTAGTACGAGGTCAGATGGAAATGGTAAGACTTGAGAAGGTATTTGAGTTTTGGTTACCTTCATTTTGACCCTGTATGAGGACTTGTGTTTCATAGCTGGCAGCCAAGGTGGTTGATAATTCTTAAACTCCTTTTACACACCTCACACTCCTGGAGTACAACAAAGGTGTCACAGTACATCTTTCTCACTCAGCTTTTACACACACAGAGTCTTACCAGGCAACCCCGGTACAGACACACAGCAGTGCCTTTGTGTTTTGTCCTCTGACTTGACATTTTCCAAAGATTTACAGTTTATTCCCTTCCCTCTCAACGTGTGTGTGTGTGTGTGTGTGACTGTTTTTTGGAGGGTTAGGGAAGAGCCATTATCAGCAGAGTAGCAGCGGAGAGGAGCTTTCACCTTATTGGCTGCCCAGTGCTACTATAGCAACAATAAAGTGACGCCAGCATGAAGATGAGAGGTGAAAGTAAATACTCCCATCAGTGCAGAGAGAGACATATATGTGGGGAAACATTTTAGAGAAAACAATGTGCAGAAAGTTGAATTCTCTAATATTCAATGTCTGTGAAAGCTTTAAAGTCTCCTCTGTGTTAATAAAGTGTTGCAACCCCCCTCCTCATCTGTTTTCAAGGTGACCTAGAGATGCTTTGTTGTTGTCCTCCTCATCGATTATTTTCCATCAGGCACTGTGCTATTTATAGTACTGAAGCCACTGGTATTAACGGATCAAAACAATACAGGGTTAGAAATTCTGCACGCCACAAAGGGCTGCTAAGAGCCGATGAAACCTGAGTGTTTGATTGGTACTCTAAATCCAGTTCATTTTCACTCATCTGCACACAAAGCCAAACAGGTCACCTTGTGTATCAGAGGAAACCACGACTACGGCTTTGTTTTTGTTTTCTTTGACAGATTCAGATCGGTTGGGATGGAAAATATTTTTTCCTGCTCTTTTTTTCTTGCAACATCCTTTTATATCTTATTGCATATTACATATCCCCTTGGTTTGGTTAAATTTTAATGAACGTGTGGAAATATTAATGAGCAAGGTCTTTAATGTCCCTCAGTCTGAGGAACAGTTCTCCCCAATCAGAGAGGAAGGTGAAAGTTCGCAGGAGAATTTGCCCAATCAGGAGGCTGATCAGGACCAGGTAGACCTGTCTCATGGAGAAACTAACCACAGCATCTGCCAAAGTCATCTAGTTCAGTAGCTGTGCAGAGTTTTTTCTGAAGTGTGATTAAATGATTAAATATACTGATGCTAACATACTGCCAATAACAGCATGATGCTGGTCCCTTTTGTATATCTTTAGCTGGCCAAAAGTTGTTTTTTTGAGCAGCAGACATTTTGGCTAGTCATAGCAGGAAAAGCACATGTGTAACTGATAACATTAAAAGACTATGTTCCATTTAGGTGAGCTAGTGGCTTACTGGGACTGCTGATGCAAGTCAGCCTGAATTAGTTTCACCTGGGCTTTTACTGCTCTAACAAGTCACAACATCTGCTTCTTATAGTTTTCAGGATTTACATGCATATGTTAAGGCTGTTTATGACGTTGTAGATTGCCAGAATGGATATGATTTGTGAAAGATGGAGTGTCCCGGTTGCATGTTGTGGTTTGATTCACGTTTGTGTCTGTTTTTAGCTGCATGGAGTTTGACACAGTTGGTGTTAATGTGTATTATTTATGACTTTATTTTCTTTAAACAGAATAAAAGTACTAGATTTATGTGCTAATGTAGTTCGAAGAATCATAACTCAAGGTCAACTTACAAGCTTTTTTTCCTGAGCTTACAATTAAATTTTTGCTCCGATTTCATCATGTGACCTATGGTATGGAACTTGGGTAAGTGGACCTTGAATTAAGATTTTTTTTTATTAAATTACAACTTTGACACCCATTTCTTCTTTTTTAGTTTACTTGAAATGTGAGGAAAGGAGTGATGGTATCTTGATTTTTTTTTTTTTGGGCTTGATCACATCTCTCTCCTCTTCTCTTCCTCCATCTTAAGGATGAATTGTCCGGTGCAAATCGCGGTGGCTCCAAGTCCAGTACTCCAGCCAACCAGGGAAGTGTCTCCAAAAGTGGAGCATCCAAATCCAACACCCCCATGTCCTCTCAGGGCGGTACCTCTAAATCAAACACCCCCACATCTACACACAGTGCTAACTCTCTCCCATCTCCTCATGATGGAGTGTCCGTCGGAACAAGTCCCGGGTCCGCAGTCGGGGGTGGGTCTGCCACTGCCACACCCGTGTCTACTGCTGCTTCCGATGTCACCATGGAGTCTGTGGACACGCCGCTGCGAGAACAGGAATTTTCTGATGGGCTCAACAAGAACCTGAACAGGACCAGTGGGAAACCAGAGAACAGTAAGAACATTGCAGCGGTGCAAGAAGGACAGCAAGGACAGCTGGGTCAGCTTGGACATGATGGGCAGGAAGCTCCCTCTACACCTCTCAAAGGGGATGGTCAGTACCACAGTTAAAACACATTTTCTATCATGCTAACACAGGTAGTAGCACTTGCTCATTCATCTGTTGTATATCTCTGCTGGTTGTACTAGATGGAGCCGACAACCTGGAGAAGTCTGAGGTGCAGGCCATCATAGAGTCCACTCCTGAGCTGGACATGGACCTCGGTGGCTGCAGAGGCACAAGGTAGAGGACTAATGATTAGATATTTTATCATCATTACCCTAAAATTAACAAAAGTTGAAAGACAGTTAGTAGAGGACATGGCTGGCAATATATGTCCATTCTTCTCAACAAATGCAATGAAAAGACCAAAACCAACATGTTCAGGCATCAGTACGTTTCAAATGATGTGTCCGAGACCCCCTCCACCATACAGTTCTCATGTTGGAATTGGAGTCAGGGTCCATGGCAGGTATGACGATAAAAGTGCAAACTTTGGATTCCTTCCAGGATAAAATGTCCAAAACTATGTGCTGTTACATTATGTCTGCCCCCCTCGCTATGACAAATTCTTTGCCAACTTTGGAAGGTAGACTAAGGGCCGGTTATATTGATTTGGCAAAATAATCATACCTCCGTCGTGATAATTAGCATTTTCTCCCTCTCTTGTTTCACATTTCCTCCCCCTACCTCATCTGTGCATCCAGCACACCAACCAAAGGTGGCATAGAGAATCTGGCGTTTGACCGTAACACTGAATCTCTGTTCGAGGAGCTGTCGTCTGCAGGAAACGACCTGATAGGAGATGTGGATGAAGGAGCCGACCTGCTGGGTAGGAAGCTTGACTTTCTCCACTTGATATTATAATCTTGCCATAGTCTCTACTTTTACAAACTATTTTCTTCCCCTGCCGTATTCTCTGAACTGTTTTTTTTCTTTGGCTGCTGGGCTTTATCATCTTTCTTAACCACCTTTACAGATGATTTTTCTGGTGTGTATCAATAATTCCCTCCAGATCTCTTTATCGAGTCCTGTGTCCCTGATTCTGTGTTTAGTTCCAGTTCCTTCTGTGACTTTCTTAAGGATGTAGAGAATAGTTTAGGGTGGTGCTGCTGTGTTGTTAAGGGCAGTAATACTATAGACTAGAGATGTTTAGATCAGACCATTGAACTTTTAGAGTCTCATAAACCTCTTCTTCCATCATCTCTTGCATGACTCTCAGACTACAACTTTCTAGGTAAGACTGCAATACCATTATGCTAGTGTGTAGGATAGATTACTTTAGTTTATTCTTCCCTTTCATGTTGGAGCAAATGAGATGATGAAATGTTAATATTGTGTTCACATTATTTTCAGGTATGGGTCGGGAAGTCGAACATCTTATCCACGAGAACACCCAGCTGCTGGAGACCAAGTTAGTACTTATTATTACTACTAAATAAAGAGTTTATTTCTTTTTTTTCTTCTCATCTCTGCCCCATATGTATGTGTAAGGATCCAGAAATAATGACAGACATTAAATGAAAAGCTGCAGTAAGCAATTCTGCTAAAAGATACTTGATCAAGTCTCAAACGTCGGTATTTGACAACCTTAGAATGAGAAGTTGAACCCAGGTCCAGGTCAAATACCAATGCCTTGGGTTGAAAACGTCTGTATTTGGAGACCTGGGACTCAACAATCAACTATCTACTCACCTGTGTTTGGCCAAAGTCTCCCATCACAGGTTGGACTGCATAAGTCTAGTTTTCCCTCAGCTCAGACCACTTAAATTACAATATGCTGAAAGGTTATTATGGTTTTTTTGCTCAAAGACAAGGCTCAAAATAAACTGTCTACCACAGCTTTAACACTCGTTACTATATCATTGTTGCAGAAATTAATACCAGCATTATCTTTCTTACTGTGACACTATTTATCTTTATTCTAAACATTGACATTAAATCATTAATGCTGCAATATTGAGAAACAGCACAGTCCTTCCACCTTGTGTTTAACATAGGTATTACATCAGAATGTATGTTTAAATGGAGGTGTATTTGTTTTCAGAAACGCTCTGAATGTGGTAAAAAACGACTTGATAGCTCGCATGGATGAACTGTCTTGCGAGAAGGAAGGCCTGCAGGGCGAGCTGGATGCTGTCACTCAGGCCAAGACCAAACTGGAGGAGAAGAACAAAGAATTAGAAGAAGAACTGAAGAAGTGAGTTGTTTTGGACTCCCCACCAGTCTACGTATAGCATTCTAGTGTATACTGTATAAAGATGGTTACTAAGGACTTTATGTACTTGCTTGCAGGGTTAAAGCAGAGCTCGATGAGGCCAAACAGAAGGTCAAGAATGAAAACGAGGATGATGTGAGTCCTTGATATTTATTTTGTCTGTCTGTAATACACCTGCATGGATTAGAAGAATGCTACCTTAATGTTCAACCTTTTTCAAGTATCTCTAAATATGACCTTTTCGGTGCCATTAGATTTTATGGATGTAAGAAAATATTGTATATTGGGATATTGTATGAATTCCTCAAAATCACTATATTAATTTCAACTGCTAGATGGCAGTGTTGTAAACATAAACTGTGGGCTATGGTGTTGGATGTTACAGGGACTGTGATGGATACAAGTGCAGATCCCACTGTTCTGGTTGCATTAAAAAGTAAACTTTTATTGCCTTGCTTACAGTACCGCAATACATTGCACTATATTGAATCGTAACCCCTATATTGTGATGGGTATTACACATAATAGCATTTGCACATAATAATACACTTAATACAGTTCATAGCAATAAAGCCTTTATTGTTCACTCTAAAAAGCTTCATAGACATCATGTTGAACTTAGGTAAAATAAGTCAATATGAGCATGTGTCACCTATAATCTGCATATGTATTGAATAGTGGTTCAGTGTTCTCATGCTGGTGTTGTGCCTGCAGAGCGATGTGCCCACTGCACAGAGGAAGCGCTTCACCAGGGTGGAGATGGCCAGAGTCCTGATGGAGAGGAACCAGTATAAGGAGAGGCTGATGGAGCTGCAGGAGGCAGTCAGATGGACAGAGATGATCCGGTAAGACAGGAGGGACAGAGGCAAGTAGTGGCCAATATGAAGTAGGGCTGACCAAATGGAGACTGTGTATTTTCTCACCATTTGCAATTTAAATTATTTGAGTTTGAGTTAAAGTGCAGGCGACATCATAGTCCACATCATACATATTCACAAATCAATAGAATCACATAAAACAAGTTTGTTGTTGAGGCCACATTACTTAAATGATTACATTAGTTCAATTCTGTACTTCACCAAATGATATTCTTATACA